TTAGGAATATGGTACTGAAGCTTGATATTTTATTTAGAAAGCAACGAAAGAATGTCAACAGTAACATGATGCTCTTGTATTTTAAATGTGACTGAAGATAATTTTGACTGACGTTTTTCCTAATTTTCTCATAATATATGTTTTCACTTAGCAGCTGGAAATGTAATTCTGTTATTCAAAAATACCTTTAAGTGTATTTACACAATAATATTGGCAACATTATGATCGCTTTAATTCTAGTTTTAGAAGACATTCGTTTCAGTAAGAAGGTTTTCGAATTCCATGTTCTACGAAATGTGACCGAAATTCCAAATGAAATTCTTGGGCATCTTACACTGGATGGAAGAACTATTGATGAAGTGAATGAATGTGGTGGTCAGATTTATTTCGTCCTTGAAGCAAAGACAGATAGTATATTTTTGCCTTTCTATGTGGAAAATAGAACAGGTTTCATTCGTTCCAAAGGTCTCGAAAATACCTGGATAAATCATTCATCTTTGAAATTATCAGTTAACGTAAAACTGTTTATTACTCCTGATAAGGAAATGGATGCATCACAAGTTATCGTGTTTTGGAATTCCTCTCCTTCAACGGTGTCCAAAAGAGTGAGTTAAAAATAAAAATTTCCTGTCAATTTGAGATATAGTTCTTGAAAATGAGAAATTATTTTTTTAATCTAAAACACTTTTAGTCTAAAATCCTCCCCTGTCAACGATTTGGAAAACTTCGCTAATTCTGATAAATACATATATATATATATAAACATTTATATACGACAAGGCTGCCTGTTATTACCGATGATATTCTTAACTTTGAAGGTCTGGATTATACGGAACACCATGTGCGGAGGGTGAGAAGACAGGAATTCGCCGGGCCCATAGGAAGATTCTGTTGGATCTGGGCTACGTATTCGATTTATGTCTAATGCCACACAAACTCAAACGCTTACAGGCAAAACCTGACAAGTTGGCACAAAAGTGGCAAAGACAGGACTCCAAGTTAACCTAGAGAAGATGGAGGTGACGAAGATGACCAATCAATAACAACATCAACAACAAGCATCAATCATTATCAGTGCGAAAAATTTGAGAGAGGTCACTCCTTCCACTTATCTAGGCTCTGTCGTTTCGACTACAGGTGACAGCACGAATGAGCATGTTAAAAACAGAATCAGAAGGGCAAGGGAGAGCCTCTTCACTCTGAAATCAGTTTGTAAATTTGCTGCACTCAGCAAAAATAACAAAATTCGAATCTTCAACACTTCTGTCAATCAGCCAGAAAGGATTATCAACTGAAAACTCTGCGAACAAACCAATCCAAAACTTATTGCTCAAAAAATGTGTCGAGAAAAATGGAAATGGGTGGGTCGCACACTGAGGACAGAGCTGAGGGTCATCGCTCACCAGGCGAGCCCTCAAATGGAACCCGAATGGGAAACAAAGAGTTAGGCGTCCGAGGATGATATGGAGGAGATCTTGTGAAGAGGAAATGACATCCTATTGGCAATCGTTGAGCCAAATTAAGAGGACAACAGAGAACAGGACAAAACGGAGATATGCTGTTGAGGCCCTTTGCTCCAAAAAGAACCCAAGGAAATAATATGTATATATATGACTTATATATTTAGTTTATTACTGCTAAAATACTCGACCCAAGTAACTACAGTCAAGTGAATAATTCAACAAAGTCGTCTTCATTCTTAACTGCTTTAAGTAATTTTAAATAGGGCATGTACAGGAAGCCAAATTACTTCGTAATAGAGTCAACTGGTGAATTAAAATAAGTAGTCAAAGAGTTCATTTCCTCGAGCGAATCACCTAGAAACACCTAAATTGAAAAAAGTGTGCCGTCTTCTGATTCATGTGTGAAAATGTTTAACAGTTGACTCTACAATAAACTTGAGTATGTAACCCGATCCAGAGATAATTGTATGAAGAACTAAAGGAAATAAAAGATATTTTATCAGACAACAGTAAAATTATGGCATAGTTTGACGTCACAGCTCTGTGCAATCTAAGTGGAGAAAGAATTGAAAAATGCACTGTTTTAGAATCGTTAATATAGATAAAGCAATAAGAAGACGTAATTTGTCTGAATCGTGTAATGTATTTGCGCAACACATTTCGAACAATCTGATCACACACGGACTTGTCATGGGAATATATATGAAATTAATAAAGAGGTAAGAGGTGAGAAAATAGACTTAGGTCAAGTTTAAAGGACATATTGTAATCATCAGTGATACGTCTCGTTCTGCCACCTCAATTTTAAATCGAATGAATGAAGTCCAGAATAGCATATCACTTACATCTGTAGAAGAGGAAGATAACTGTTTATCTTTCCTAGACATATTGCTTAGTCAACGGCTTGATGGGTCAATAAAAAGATCTATTTATAGAAAACCTGCCTGGACAGGACAGTTTCTTAATTACCACAGTTTTTACCCTGTTCGGTACAAAAGAGCCTTAGTAAGGTGCCTCTTCAGTAGAATCCAACGAATATGCACTAAAGACACACTTGATGCGGAAGAAAGAAAGCTGACACAAACTCTGGTTGATAACAATTATCCAGACAAGTTCATCAGGAGATACAAAGTAGTCAGAACACCAAGACCCACTCTCCAACTCGCTCCTAAGAAAGACGTGTACATCAAGCTACCCTAAATGGGGCATCAAAGCAGCTTGATAATTAGACAAAGACTGAACGCTGCTGTCAGAAAGACTTTTTATGCAGCCAATATCATAATAATAGAGAATGTAAAGCAAATGCATCTATCTAAGCCCTTCGAACACGCGAAAAGTGACGTCACATCCCACTGTATTTACCAATTCGAATGTACGTGTGGACACACATACACAGGGAGGACTCATCGGTCTCTACAAGTAAGGGCTTTAGAGCATATTCCTAAATGGCTCCAGAAACAAATGGAATCTTCAGAACCTATTAACGGTGAAAACAGGAGACCTATCTCTTCTATTGCGAAACATATTTTAGAGACAGGACATAAAAATTGACGTTAACAGATCTTTTAAACCTATGTATAAAACGTGTTTGGGGCGTATCCTAAAGTTTGTGGAAACCCCAGCTGGTAATTAGAAAGTTTAAGCCACCTTTATGCGCTCAAAAGCAATTCGTCATCACATTAAACCTTCCTTGGTAAATTTTGTTTTGATACCATTGCAGATGTATCATTAGCTCTGTTATTTGGTTTAGTGAGTGATCTTCATTGTTATTTTAACCTTCGATATGGCGTCCTTTTAACTTGACCTAAGTAGTCTATTTTCTCCCATCTTACCTGTTTATTAATTTCATATATATTCCTATGACAAGTCCGTGTGTGATCAGATTGTTCGAAATGTGTTGCGCAAATACATTACACGATTCAGACAAATTACGTCTTCTTATTGCTTTATCTAAATTCATAAAGGGAACTAATTGTTTTAAATCGTTAACATGATAATTATTATACACTCATAACCTGTTCAGAGGCTTTACATATAAAGCAAAATACTCACAACGGTAACGTGAAAAGTCAGGATACACTGTATGGCTCCCATCCTGAGGAAGCTAGAAGATAAATTTTTTCTGACTGTCTTGCAGAGTGAAGCAACAACCAACTGACTCTGACTTTCATCTTGACACACAGCAGTAGAATCTAATCACTTATTAAATCAATCGCAAAAACTGTGAAAAACATTATCCTGGTCATGGTAGATATCGGTTTTACTTTCGCATTCCTAAGCATAGATCGCTGATCAAGTGACATCACAATATTTCTTCCTTGTAAGTTTACGCATGCACAAGAAATATGCTGAAGAAGACAGAGTTGGATAGGACACAGAATGAGAAGACGGCTTAGTGACATTGCTTGCAAGGCATACCCTCGAGTGAAACTCGAATTGAAAACGACGTGAACGGTGTTTGTCCGAAAGTGACATGAAGGAGATCATGTGAGGAGAGGATGAGAGCTCATAGGTAAACGTTCGGCCAGTCAAAGTGGATAGCACAGATCAGGGTAAAGTGGAGCCCTATGTTCCATTTGGGAACCTAAGAGAATAATTATAAGCGTATGTGTACAATGATGGATCCTAATTAGACCCGTATAACTGCTGGACCACAAACAAATAAAACACAGAAAATGCCATGGCATTTTCAAAGCCTGTTACCTATATTAGTCTGCAATTAAACACTATCATGCAGACGGTATTCATCAAACAAGAAATAACTGATCATTCAGACAAAGAGTTGGGTGTCAGGCCAACAGATGATCAACATTAATATGGATGAATAAAGTGTAATAACTGTCGCAACCAATTTATCACATTCAGTTGCATTAATCGATCACAGGAAGCCCCCTTCATCTTGAAGTTTACAGTTAACACATAATCTAGAAAGCAAAACGGACTACTCGTAGCTAAGCCAACTCAATAACTTTGAAAACTGGTATATATTAATCATAAAAACCTTGTGGTGTAACTTAATGAAGTATCAGAAATGCTCTTAGTTGGGATTAAGAAACATACCAAAAAAGAAATGAAAAGTGACTACACAGAGACGATATGATAGCATATTTGCATGAAACTTTATACTGCTGATTGACTGAGCTGAGTACTTGTATACCAGTAACATCAAGCAGTAAGACTTGCCACCAAGTCAGATTGAAGTGACCTAAACACTGGACAGCCGTCTCGCTCATCTTCAGCCAAGCTTTTCGGCTGCGTACCAGGCTTAACTGAGCTCAAACCATCAGATTTCTGATCAGCTACTTATGCGAAATGGTGACACAACAAATAAAATTCGCAATCTGCAGATTAATTTGCATTTTACACATTTTACTACTGACCACAATCAATCAGTAGTATATGGATAGCACCGTGCAAAAATGCATTCATTTTTGGTTGCCATTCATGGTATCAAGCGGATCACATACTGTGTATCTGAATAATTTGGTTTCCAATTGAAACTGGTAAACTTTTCACTCCTCGAACTGTGTACACTGCAAATTTTTAATCTGACCTGATCACCATTTTGATTTTCCTCTAAATACCTTAGTGTGAATCGGGTGCAACATTTAATTTTGAATATTGAAAAATCAAAGGCATGTGTTTCGCTTAACCTAAATGGGATGAATTTTATCTAGGATCATTACAATGAAGGCGCCGTTTTCGTTTTCGAAGGGCAGAAAGAATTTCAAGTTATATTACTTGTATCTTAAACAACAGCTTACTTCGAAATATGTATGGTCAATCTCAGTCGTAAAATGAAAAGGTTAAGTGATGTTTATTGATGTTATCAACACACTGTCATTTGTGGACTTTATTCTTTCTCATTGTTAAACTTTAAGTTTTTCTTACTCCTCCACTTATATTATCGTTTCACAATTAGAGTACCAATCCGGTCGGAAATGACCTACGAATAACAACCAGTTATTCAAAAACCACTGCCTGGTGTATCGGTGAATTCATTATACTGACTGTTCAGCTTGGTTTACCTTCTGGAACTACTTCGATAGCTGTGAAAATGTCTGCTCCTACCTACAATTCTGCATTCTACGGTTTTACAGAATTCATTGGTATCTCTGACATTGGCGCACGAATTCTTAATAGAAATTTCACCGTCAATGTGATGAATGTTACAGGAAATAGTACTTCTGATCGTAAAGTAAATCTTTTGTATTATTATTATTATTACAATAGGATTTTATATGAAATATTCTGTAAAATAACTATCAACACAGTGTTAATGTCTGAATGTTACTTCCTAAGAATTTTATTGTATGCAACTTGATTTCTCATTCTGTCATACAAACGTAGTAAGAATCCTATGCACATGACCTATGGGTATGGAATCTCTTCTACTACTGCTGTGAACTGTTATTATTAGTTCTCAAGTACAGGCACTATACAACAGAATTACAACGCCTTAAACAAACATATGAAGGTGTTATCAAAAATCTGTCAGCATCAATCACAAACTAGACATTTGACTCAGACAGCCCAAGGTCACAATGACCTTGATTCAGTCAATCAAAGTAGCATCATAAAATAACACATTACCAGTATCATCAGCCAACCACAAAAAAAGAAATAACATTAGAGAATAAACAGGAACAAAGACAAATAATAAGCATTAATTCAGCAGGTAATATGCAAAACGTTAACGTATTGATTTATTGTAATTATTACTCACTTGGGTTCTTAGTGGAACATAGGGCTTCTACAACACATCTCCCTTTTGTTCTGTTTTCTGCTATCCTCTTCAAGTAGATCAAGAATGGATCATAATCTCTCACCTCCTCCATGTTACTCTGGGTCTCACAGACGACGCACTCTTCGCTTCCCAGTAGGATTCCACTCGAGTGATGGTCTGCACTGCACACGATGTCATTCGATGGCCTTCTCAACGTATACCCGATCCATTTCTACTTTCGCCTACATATTTGTTGAGCGATCGGCTCTTGGCTGATTTTTCGCCAGCCAGAGTTTCTTGCTGCTAATTCTTTCCGGCTGTCCAGCGAAGACAGCTGTTGATAAAAGTCTGCAATCTGTTGCGAAAAACGTTTCGTGTCACGACAAGTTTCTGACCCGTATTGAAGGACCGACTTGACATTGGTGTTGAAAATCCGAATCTTGTGTTCCTTATGTGCGGAAGATTTCCGAACCGGTTTTAGGTTGATGAAGGCGTATACTGCCTTTCCGATTCTGACTTTCACGTCTTCATCCGTCCCGACTGCCTGTGGTTGAAACCGTGGTTCCTAGATAAATGAAGGAGGTAAACTCCGACAATTTCTGCCGTTAAGGGTGCAGATAATTAAGATAATTAGGTTAACCAATTATGCAAGCACTTAAACTTTCAGGAATATTTAAAGAACAAAGAAGTGAACCGAATTTCCTTTTGAGCAAAAAATCAATGTTGGAATTTGTTTATAATCTGAGAATTTTAAAAAGAAGTCGTTTCATATAAGGTTTCTGAATTATAAAACCCAGCAAGTAATTCAGCTACATGTACCTGACGACTAGCATTGTGGTCCAGAATGTACATTTCGTCTTATTTTGCACTCATCAGCATTCCCTATTGAGTCATGGTATTCCCAAACGCCTAAGTGTTGTCCACTAGACCACTTGGCCCACGAGAGCCAGCATGTATACAACGGGCATCAGTTACTACTACTTGTTTTTAAGTCAATCTTTGTTTTCCAGTTGATTGACTGGCTTCTATTGACAGGTCTGCTCATATTATGGGCGCTTTGACGACGTCTGACGATTAACTTGAAGTAATTTCATATACACTAAAGGATGCAAGTATATTCAGATGACGAGTCCCAAATAGGACGATATGCGCATCCTTGATCCCAGTTAATCCACTGACATCATCGGAACGCCCGTACTGAGAGTTGACAAGTCAACACAGGACGAACATTTCTGTCTAATCAGTCAACGGGGAAATTGACAATGAACTGAAAATTCGACTGTATAGTTCAAAAAGTAGCGTTATGTGAGTTTTCCCTTCGTTAAAGTAATAAAGATAATTAATTTATCAGACATGTAGTTCGAATACATTGTGAAAGACAGTTTAATACTGCTTCATTTGTGAGAAAATATTCAACCTACTTATCCAAACCAGAAGTTTACTGATGACAGTTAAGAAATCTAATGACCCATACATCTCAGTGTGATTATACTCCACTAACGTATCAATATTTTTATTTCTTTTTCAGACTGTCACTACAACTGTTAGCCTATCAGATCTCATAGTAGATGATATACCAAATTATACAGAGGAATATACACTGGCAATACAATTCATTGTTGGTTTATGGCCTCAGAGTTCAACAATACAAGGAAAATTGGTTAATACGCAATGTGATGTTTATAGGGATAATTTAACACAGACTAATGTTACCACGAATACAGTCGGTAGTGCATGTCCTGTTTCTTCACCAGATATAACAATTTTATCAAATATTGCTTATATTGTACCAGGAGATATAGTACTTTTTGAAGCTGAAGTACTTCTGGTATCTGAGATGGGAAATTATATGGTAAATTCTAGTTGTTTTTTTTAATTTCTGATTATAGCTTGATTTCACACCGTACTTTTGGTACAAGTATGGAATTTTCAACATGTGATATCGGTAGCCCAAATTTTGCAGGCCGATCATTGATAACGGGTGTGCGTCGGAGGGGTATTGAACCCCGGACCATGTGCATGATCGGCGAGAGTCCTAACCGCTGTGCGACCGACGCACATTGTTCATCATTCCATTTTTAAGTGTTGGTTTATACAGATTTTATTGATTTAAAGTTATATCGAGAACTGAAATCAGTTTGAAAACTGTGGAGTACTCTACAGCTGTTTCCATTTAGTTTGACGTTCTTTTTCTTCTTCTTATCACCAATGACATTCCTTATAGTAATGGACTGGATTATGCAACAGATAGTGGGAAACTAGAAGACAGGGATATCCTGGACCGACGTAAAGAACCTAGAGGACTTGGATTTCGCGCGTGGATGATTTATGTTTGATGTCACACAAAATCGACGACTTACAAGCGAAAACCGACAAACTGGTTGGTCGAGGAAGCAGCCAGAGAAGACAGGACTTTAAGTGAACATAGACAAGACGGAGGTTATGAAAATAACCAACCAACAACAACAACAGCAGCAACATACAGCGCCAATCACCATCAACAGGAGGGATTTGAAAGAGGTCAATTCATTCACTTATCTAGGGAGCATTGTCTCAACTACAGGCAGTCGGAACGGACGAAGATGTCAAATCGAGAATCGGGAAGGCGAGAAACACACTCATCAACCTGAAACCAATCTGGAAATCTTCGTCACTCAGCATCAACAACAACAAAATTCGGATTTTCAAAACAAACATCAAGTCAATTCTTCTATACGGATCAGAAACTTGGCGGCGGTTCACAAAGAATATTTCCAACAGCCTGTTGCAGACCTTTATCAACAACTGTCCTCGGTCTATACCGAAGATCAGATGGCCGGAAACAATCACCAACAAGAATCTATGGGAACAAACAAAACAAGAACCGATCGCTCAACAAATGTGCAGGAGAAGGTGGAGATGGATTGGACACTCGCTGAGGAGGCCACTGGGTGACATCGCGCGTCAGGCCAACGCTCGAGTGGAACCCGAAAGGGAAGCGGCGAGTGGGACGTCCCAGTGTGACATGGAGGAGATCATGTGAAGAGGAGTTGAAACTGTATGGACTAACATGGATGCAAGTGAAAAGTACGGCAGAAGACAGAAACAAGTGGAGACGTGCAGTTGAAGCCCTATGTTCCACTAGGAACCCAAGGGAACAATAATAATAATTCTTCAGAGATATTCTCTAACGACCCTACCTCCAGAGATCGAACCCCAGACTGAACCAACTAGCTACTGAGATAGAATCCAATGGCTGGCCTTTGAATTTTAAATTCTGGTAATTGTAAAGTGTTATCTGAATGAACTTGTCCCAATATTCAGACTTGTGGACCCCAATGATCACGACTCCTTGTATTAGTTAGATGGACAACAAGTGGAAGTTGTATATTATTACTATTAATAATAATAATAATCTACTTTATGCCAAAAACAGTACTTATAATACAGAATGGAATTCTCAGCATTTATCACAATATTGCATCTGATTTACTCAAAATATAAATAAAATTGGAAATTAAAACAAAATTAACCACAGAAATTTGTCCACATTTCCGACATAAAGTCAAAAATATTCGAAGCATGAATTGAGATTATTAAATATAATAATAACAGTGAGTTTGTTTCAAAGGGTATTGTTGATTAAGTTTGGAAACTTTAGCATGTTATAGATTATTGGATCTAATGTTCTGTTGATATAGTATAGTGACGGTTAATACAAAATTAACAGTTATATTACAGCTTAAATTATGTTCACACTTATGAAAAAAATAAAATGAAAAAAATTGAGAGGATTATAAATATAAGAAATACAATAAGAATAAAGTTTGATGCTTTAAGGGTGAAGGAAATGGTTTACTTATTTATTGTTATTCTTTTGAGTTCCGACTGTAACATAGGGATTCAACAACTGATCTTCGTTTTGTCCAGTTCTCTACATTCCTTTTCAGCTGGCTCCACAATTCCGCATAGGCTTTCATTCCCTCCTTGCACCCTGACTCAGTTGGCCTTCTCCCATCCGGATTCCGCTGGAGGGCCTGAACTGCTTGTGATGTCATTCAATGTTCTTCTAAATGTGTGTTTGATCCATCTCCATCTTCTTCGAGATATTTTTTAAGTAGTAGGTTATTGAACGCTTCGTTCCCGAAATTCTCTAGTAGGCAAATCTTTTTGTCCAGCCATGCGATCTTCAGTATGGAACAAAGACAGTTGTTGATGTATGAAATTTATAAATTTCTTCTAAATTACTTCCTCAAGTGAAATTATACTCGACCCTATGGTTTAAATTTAATTTAAGAATATTTCCAAGGCACTGAATGATATACTAGGAGTTTGTATTGTCAGTAAAAGTAATTTTTGGTTGACTGAGCTTTTAATGAGTAAGTTTAATGAGTTAACGAGGTGATTACATCAGAAAATTGTCCCCTGTGGTATCTGATGAGGGTAGTTCAGATTCTCGTGAACAACAACAGTTGACTTTCAATTGGTTATTAGCAAATCTATTAACATAAGAATGTTGCATGTTGACATTTACGTGAACTTAAACATTATGACGATGAGGGTATTATTATCTGGTAAAAGTAAGCTTATTTAACCTTAATTTTTATCGAATGATATTAACAAACAAAGGCTTGAGATTACATGGGTATGTGTGACCTTATATGATTGATCCGATATATGATGATCATTCGTGTTATTGAAAAATTCACAATATCTTTCGGTCTGGTTACCTTTTCGAAAGTAGGACGTATATTAAAAGTAGTTTCATCTGTCTGTACAATTCCAGTCATTCTCCTTTTGAACAAGTGGACATTCGCAAATGTTGTATGAGAAGCTTTCCGTTTCTGCATATTTGTACATAGTTTGATGAGACACTTATTAGTAACTAGTGTCATGTGACTAGTTATTTGTTCGGTGCAAGCTGAATTCACTGTCACTCAAGTTTGCAATGTGGCCGCCATGTTGGGTAGCCCGCAGTCTGAATTGTCGTTATTAGATGGTTAAGGGGGGAGGGGGTAATCAGCAGGAAGCCTTCAAATTAGTTTTTTTTGCTTGTTGGTACTCACCAGTCAGCGAGGCATTTCTGAAATCTTGAAAGAACTCATATCCCTTCTGAGATTCGCTATATGTGTCACTCGGTGTCGCAACAAACAAAGGAACAGATATATGAAATGACATTGATTACTACTACCTAGCGTCCAATCAGTATGTCCAATACAGTCCTATAGGAGGTCAGTCACTTACCTAAAGAGCTTAGTGGCGGCGTATCTGAATGCACAACTGGATGAAATGCGTTCAGACCTCAGGAAGGGGGCAGCATCAGTACTTTCACTACTACACAGATGTCTTGCTGACTGTTAGGTGCCAAAAAGTACGAAAACTAGGTCAGGCAGGAACTTCTGTTGATTGCTTCGAGCCATCTAATTCAATTTGTTCAGATGTTTTCAACGCACACGAGCCAACAGGCGGCGTCTGACATAGACATATTTATTTGAAGTAGATGGCACTAAAATATATGCCACCAAAAACTTGAACAGCGTAAGTTTTCAAATTTTAGTTTGTATATTAATAAATTCAGTTTCTTCTCATTTTACCAATGTTATTATTATTTCATAGGAACGGTTTATCGAAAGCCCTAAGTCCTTACAACTGAAGCAAAATCAGGTATTATGATTCTGCATATTTTTATTTAGCAGTGAATTACAGTGAACCATCTTGAGCAACAACAACAAGCGCCAATCACTATCACCGGCAGAAATGTGGAAGAAGGTGACTTACTTCACTTATCTATGCAGAACCATTTCAACTAAAGGCAACGGAACTGGTGAGAATGTCAGGATCAGACTCGGGAAGGCAAGGTAGACCTTCAAAACTCTTCTGCACTCAGCACAAAGTACAAAATTTCGTTTATCAACATCGATGTTAAATCATTTCTTCGATATGAGTCAGGACCTTGGCGCGACAGTCACGAAAATTATTTTCAATAGGCTACAGACTTTGATCAACAGCTACCCCTGCCAGCCTTATGTTGAAGAATAGATGATCAGAAAGAACTGGCTCTAGAGAAGTCTTGAAACTAAAAAATCAAGAAACTATCGACCAACAAATATCGAGAATCAAATAGAGGAGGATCGGAAACACTCTGAGGTTAACACTAAATGACATCTATCTGCACGGCGTCGATTGGGATCTGAATGTAAAACAACCAGTTGAGCGTCAACTAGATGGTCAAATAGGGGAGATAGCGAAAGGAGGAGATGAGAGCCTACGGACAATCCTGAAGCCAGATAAACAGGCTTCTAGAGAATTGGACGAAGTTGAAATATGCTGTTGAATCCGTATGTTCCACTGAGAACAGAAGTGAATAATAGTTATAATAGGGAAAATAGTCTGGACGTACTGCTTCTCAACTTAATCCTGACCTACAATGGGTCTACTATGGTCCAAAAGGCTTAGTAGTTCAGTCTCCTTAACCGTAACATTTAATTGTGTAGATTTAAATTGAATGCCTAAAGTTGAATTTACTTTAAATAAATAAAATATTGTTTACTTTGTGGGTTTATGTATTTCCTAGAGAAATTCACAGTACAAAGAGAGGACGAACAAATACTTGAAAAATAAGTTCAACCCCGTTAAGTTTAAACTAATTAGTGGGACTAGGTTAATGAAGATACATCTGCATAAAACTGTTAACTACTGATTTACTGGGATAAGCACTTGCATACCACTCATATGAAACAGTAGAACTTGCTAACCAGATAGTGGTGATCTAAGCACTGTACTGACGTTTTGGTGGTTTGAGACCAAGTTCATCAGAGATGTGCCAGATTTGGCTCACTTCAGACCAGTACCTATCAGTTCAAAATACACGATTTCTGACAGACCACGTATTGTGATAATTTTGGTTCCCGAAACAGAAAAATGTGATGAAATTTCACCCCCTCGAACCGTTTAAAGAGCGAATTAATTTGCAAACTGAGAATTCAATCAATTGCGTCTTCAGTTTGCATAAGTAGATGACCAGAAACCAGGTGGTTTGTGCTGATTTAGCACTTTGAGCTGAGTTAAACTAGATGCGTCGCTGATGAGCTCGTAGGCAAAAGAGCGAAACGGCCGTCCGGTGTTTAGATCACCTCCATCTGGCATCAAGCCATAGGGGTTGCTATGAGTGGCGTTCAACTACTCATCTAAACCAATCAGTAGTATGTAGTCCACACACTTATGGTTATCTTCTTGAATAACATTTACGCTATGAAGCAGGTTTGAATAATTAGATCTCCGAAGGAAGTTGTAGTGAAATAATCTCCTCGATGTGTGTCCGTTACAAAGTGCTAACTAATTTGATTTTGGGTGTATTCCTGAAACGACATCTGCCGGTGAATTTATTCAATTTCGCGTAACAAGCAGTGATATTACGTTGTGGGATATTGGTACAATTAACCCCAATTATTGTCCCTGAGGAGTGTTTGGAAGTAGGCTGTTTTCCACGCCATTTCTTGAGCTCATTAGATCGATTAGACTAGTTCCAACCCATCAGTATCTTTTCGTCAAACCCCACACTGAGTTATCTCAAAAACAAACAGCAAATAAGTTCCTACTCATTTCTTTCAAACTAATCACTGAGAAGTGAGTTTATGAAAATGCATCCACCTGTTGATATTTTTTTCATACCTGTACTTGAATTAAAACATACTGACCACAAAAAATATGATAATTTCTTTTGCTTTTGATATTAGTTTTCCGTATACACAATTGGTCAATCAGCTACCATCAGCAACTTTAACATTACGCTAAAAAAAGGGATGAGCTACACACAAGGACCTGGAACAAGGCAGTATAAAGATGGAGTATTGAAGAAATGTGTTCTTTCGAAGCAGATCGATATCGATATCATTGGACTGAAAAGTATATGTGAGTGAAATAATTAGAGAACACTGTTATATTTAAAGTGGAAGGAACTGTATAGAACGTTTCTTATTTCATAATTAGCCACTGATATTTACACTCGACTGTTGATATTGCAATATAATCACTATCATGCTGTCGGCATACATTAAGCAGTGTGATTCGAAACCCCTTCTTTCATATATAGCGTTAGTGTTCATGATAAACTTAATATATCACTATGTACAGGCTGACAACATACAATTCAGAACCACTTACAGGAAGATGGTTTAATGGCAGATTGCTCGCCAACCACGCCTAACGTGATTAGTGGTTCAATCGTAGGCTGACGCACTCTAGAACGTCGCTTAGCAGATAGCGAACCTGTTGGGGAGTGAACGTTAGGTGTGAGGATAGCAATCCCACCCCATGGGAAACTCTTTCACAAAATCATTAATGTAGTAATAAATACGGTGATATAAAATAAACAAAACGCACTCATTGCCAAACTCCACTGGCTAAATGATCTCAAATAGCCAGTTGGAGAAAGTGGTACAACCGGCCAAATCGATTGCAATAACTTCTAGTACAAGTATATAGGTGAAACTAGTAGATTAGTGTCAGTTTGGTTGGTGTATATTAGCTTTGTGCAGATTATGCGGCAGACTGTGAATCTGGACTTCGCTGTTGATTTATGCATATCTGATGTCACATAAGTCTGAAGACTTACCGGTGCCAAAAAACAAGTTAGCAGAAAAGGTTGGTAGCGAGGACAGGACTTCAGATGAACATAGAGTAGCCGGAGGTGATTACGACAACTAATCAACAACAGTGACAACAACAAGCGCCAATCAATGTCATTGGAACGAATTTGGAAGACATCATTTCCTCCACTTGTCTAGGCAACATAGTTTCAATTACAGGTGGGGAACGAATCACAATGTCAAAATCAGAATCAGAAGGGCAAGAGAGAGCTTCATCACTCTAAAATCAATATGGAAATCTTCTGAACTTGACAAGTGGAACAAGGTCCAGATTTTCAAAACGAGTGTCAAGACAGTTCTCCTATATGGCCCAGGGACTTGCACTGTTTGTCATGAAGAGCCTTTACAACAGGCTGCTGCAGGCTTTTTATTAACTCTATAAACGAACCAGTCAGGAAAATTGCGCTCGTCAAAAATCCGGAAGAAAATGGAGATGGATCGGTTAAATTCTGAAACACAACGAGCTGGAGGCGTGTCCAAGAGTGACATGGTGGTGATCATGTGAGTAGGAGGTGAGAGCGTATGATCAGTCATAAAGTCAGGTGGAGAGAACTTTAGAGGACAGGAAAAATGGGGATTTGCCATCGAAGCCATTTGTTCCACTCGAGATCTGAGGGAATAATACCCACTACAGCTTCCAGTTCTCATATAAGCAATGAAGTTATTTGAATAATTTAAGAACATTTTTTGTCACAAACCAACATTACTTGAGGAATTACCGTCTCAATTATCAATCTCTCCCCCGACCTCGATATATCAGATTTCGAAACCGTCATCTTATCCCATCCTATTTTATTGCAGTGTTTAGATGCATGCAGTGCTATTGCTGAACTATTCTCCAAATTTCTTATCTTATTCGGGCCAACTAACCTAGATTTTACTAGGTTTTTATGCTTCGCTAGTATGACTGACCCTATTCTACCAGTGTAATCTATGTATTTGAAATGACAATCATTAAAACAGGGTACTTGATGGACTAAATTGTTTTGTTTAATTGGTTCCAGAGGGTCTCCTCTAACTGAAAATGCTTGTTACTAAGTAAGTTTGTGGATTTGAATGCCTTCTACTTTTACTCCTGCCTTGTTAAGAATCCTCCGTAAGGTTTGCGAGGTTCCTTCTTTGTATGGAAGTACTACTGGTGATTTCTACTCCTTATTGTTGGTGTTGTCATTACTCTGTGCATGTTAGACATGCACATCGTCACCAATATTACTATTATTGTCATCACTATCACGTGAGGAGGGAAAGTTGATCGATGAGCTTGTGAAACTACATCGATTAAAATGAGCAAGACACCACCTTTTGTGACGATCAAAGTTAGCTGACATACGAATAGGTTGGAAAAGAATTAGGCATGGCCGAATCAAAACCTGCTATCAGTCAATGAAACCTTTGTTAATTAGTTCAAGCTGCGTGGGGTGGTAGATTGAGTGGTGGGGGCCTTCAGGATTCTAGGAGCCAGTTGACAGAAACAATAGGGGCTGTAGCTCAGAATCATTTTCAGAGGACCACATAAATTCGTTCTTTGCCATCTCCCATATAGAATACTCTGAACCCCTTTGTTTTTCCATGTTACTGTTCTTCCCCCTAGATTTCTCTTCACCATAATTCTTTTGAATATCTTTTCGACATCTTTTATTTTCCTTTGTGTGCTACATGGAGTGTGGCAACTCGAAAGCTGCACTTCTGTGCAAAGTTCTATGTTGAAACCAGTCAGGAAGTCAGTAGTGCTAAAACATTGCCAACTGGGACGGCAAAACCATTCGGACATCTTTTGTTTTCAACGATTTTCTAACTGTTGTTGTTCCACGACTAAATCTGTATTGGGTCGATGAATACGGATTAGTACTGCATCTGCGATTTATAAGCTTAATGACTGCCAGATAAACGCGTGGTCCGCGTTCCACTTCCAGCAGGCTCAGTCATAGTCTCGGAAAAGATTAAAGTTAGAATTTGAGGCTAAGAGCCCCACCCTTTAAAAGTACCACATGCTCTACTGACACTTCTAAGGTCCCTGTTGGAAGCCCTTTGTCCCACTCAGAACGTGAAGGAATGAAAACTAATGTTGACTGAAAGTCAAATGGGGATTAAAGTTCAGATGTTTTATATATCAAAAACAGAGAGTGGTAAATTTATCTTTTTAAATAATTAGGGATAACACATTGTATCACTAGACTGTCATTATCTCCATGAACGTCTTAAGAAGATGTGTAAGAAGTAACTAGGCAAGACTCGAAGGCATTTTGTATATAACATTTCTAAATTATTGATCATTAATTGTTGTCTATTCACTTATTTCAGATGCAATGGCATTATCTTTACCAAAATCAGATCGTTCGGTCAGACTTGTTGCCTACATTCAAACCACATCGTTTGCTTCAACAAGAGCTATTCTCGGATTTAGAATGCGTCATTCTGTAACAAGTGTTCTTTTCCAAGAGGTTCAAGTGCCTATTATTGCTGACTATAGAAATTTCAAAACTGTAAGTGTATCTTAATGACAGCTAGTGAGATAAGAAGCAATTGATTAATTTCTAAATTCTCAAACATTGGCTACCATGGATTTGAATGTTTTTTTAGTTAGATCACGAAGTGGAATCTGTTGTTTGACCCCTGAAAACAAGGAAGCATTAGGACTACTCCGCGATGCTCATCCATAATCCCAGTGCTAGCGACTGAATGCAGGTCTTCCAGGTAACCATGCGAGCCAATTGACTAATCAGTCTTTGGTCGATGAATCTAACTGCTTTAAATTTGAGATAGATCTCTTCACCGATAGCCAATGTCATCGGTGAGTATTTCTCCCCAAGTTCAACTAGTGAAAAGTCTCAAACTAATACTACACAGCTGTTCAGGACACCCTGGTTTCTGGTTTCAGTGAGAGTTCTTCTTCTGGCTTTGCTGATTGCAACTTGATTTCACAGTGTTGCTAAAGCACAGATACCGTCAGTCGAGTATCTCAAAAACTTGTTTCATATTGTCAGCCTTTAACTTTACTGTTTAGTGCAGCGTACAATTCTGCATTCAATTCGAAAATTAGGTTGATGATATATACTGTAATGCTAACTCATTTTAACTGATTAAAAATGCCCATTAAAATTTTCAAAAGAATAGACACGGAACAAAGAGTACTCTTTTCGATAAATTCATCATCAGGTCCTACAATTATATATACATTATAATGAATGAATGAATTAGTCTTATGAACGACATTAATGTTGTTTAAATAACATCGAATCAATAATATTGATAAATTACAGCTGAACAGCATCAACATAAAATAAACTGAATGTCAGAAGAATTAGGAAAGGTAATTGTACACATTCATGAGTTTATAGTATCTGCTGAAGGCCAAGGCAGTAGTAGGGGCTGGACTTGTTTTTTTGGACACTGGGCACTAGTTGTTTGAGGCGAATTGCAATAGCCTCTGCTGTTTGGAGCATGCGATGCTTCGACGATTTTGGTAGTTTGTTAGGCACCCGGTATATTATAGAGAAGGATTCTTCTAATCTGGCTTTGTGACAGATTTGCACCAGATGGTCTAATATCGAGCTGTTAATAGTTTTAAGTACACCTTTACTTAGCCATAGTGGGATATGTTCTCGAGCACGAAAAATCAAGTTCCTAGAGCAACGGCCAACATAACTCGCTCCACAAGCGCAGTTGAATTGATAAATACAATCTGAAGTGGCTAGTCTAGGTACTTCATCTTTCAGTCGAGGTAGCACCATCGGTCGTGTAGAGAATAAGACGTGTAGTTCGTCAGCATTAAAAGTTCTTTGAACTGATTTTCTTAATTTCTTCGTAATTAACTCGCTTGGTATATCTCCCATGAATTGTAGTCGTATATAAAGCGGCTCCTTGTTTACAGATAGCGGGTGAATTACAGCTGGACGTATTTATTTCAACGTGATTGCATAGTCTAGTGACACGACATATGCCGTGAGTCCAGTTAGCTACACATACATAACTCACTAATTCAAATGTGCACTAAAAGATTTCGTTTATGACTGGTTCAGTGAAGCTATCTTGGAAATACCAGTTGCATATATGTAATTTATGGAAAGTTAAAAACAAAATGAAGATGTTGATGAAACAACAAAAGTAGTTCAGCGAAGAGTCTCTTTTATGCGAATTCATTTTCCTCTTCAGCTGTTATATGTATACTTATTTTTATAAGTATGTGTATATAAGGTTTGTCCAATAAGAATGAATATAAGTTAGGGTTATTTTTGTCAAGATATTTCAAGACATTGGCTAGGGGTCACGCTATGTCGTGAATTGGCAGAAGTTAGAATTCATGGGCCATTGGATCGGGTCCCAGTGGCTTAATGGTATACGAGCTCGCCTTGTAACCAGAAGGCCCTGGGTTCGAATCCCGGTGGGTGCGTACTGATGAAGAGTCCTAAACTAGGACGAAACAACTGTCCAGTAGTCTCAGGTTTTCCAATGGTTCTCTAACTAATGTCGGCACATGATGAGAATCCTGCAACCAATTAAATCCCTACAAACCAACACTCGAATATTCCAAAAGTGTTATGAATAATCAAATTATAACTACGGTGGGTGAAGATTGATAAGTAAGATGGTAGTGGTGATGTCTTGTCATAAGACATATTTATGTTAATCAGCACATAAAGGAAGTTGAATAAGTGTAACACGGTTGCGTAACAGGACGATTAGCACATAGAAACAAAGGGAAATATGGAATTATGTAAGAGGTTTAAAAGTTAAAAATGTTATAAAGAGTTAGAAAAAAATAGTATACTATATCGCTCCGTAACATAGAGAAGACGGAGGCGATACAGATAATCAGCCAGTAAGACGAACAAAAACAATAACTGTCAACGGGGGAAGTTTGAAAGAAGTCACTTCCTTCACCTATCTAGGCACCATCATCTCAACTACAGGCGACAGATGTGAAATATATACAGGATGGGAAAGATAATGGAGACCTCCGTCACTCTGAAAGCAGCCTGGAGATTTACCGCACTCGGCGTAAATAAAGAATGTTCAGTCAGTTCTTCTAAATTGGTCAGAAACTTGATACATTAGATGAAGTATTTCGAACAGGTTCTTGCAGTTGTTCATCATTACCTGGCTTTGCTGGCTCCGTACTAAAAACCAAATAGACAGAAAGAAATAGCGCCAGGAAACTCTGGGGACGTACTAGTAGAGAATCTATCGCTGAATAAATATTCCGCAGACAATGGAGATATATCTGACACACGACGAGATCGTCGAATAAAATCGCGCACCAGGCAGTTTGTCGAATGGAACCCGAACGGCTTACGACCAGTTTGACGAGTGTGCAAGGACGAGATGGAGGGGATCGTGTGGGGAGGAGGTAAGAGCCGATAGTCAATCGTGGAGCTTTCTGAAAAGGACCGCAGAGAAATTGATAAATTAGAGATGTGCCGATGAAATTCCATGTCTTGCCTGTAACCTAAGGGAATAATAATATAATAAAAATTTCATGAGATATGTACTCTTTGGAATTTAAGTAATTATGTACTTCGACTTATTATGTGAACATAACACGTCCGCATTCACATAACTAGAAGGTTTAATGTTAATCTGTGTTTTGTCAAATAATTTATTTTGTGTTCCACTATTCTATCACTTCTATTTATGCGACAAAATGTTACTGTCAGTTATAGCACTATAAATGCTTAGTTGAAGGCTTACGGTTTTAAAAATCATTAGCACATGAATTTACAGTTTTTATCATTAATCCACATACGCTACTTCTACTCCTGCAGGTATTACAACCGTCGATGGATTTATCTATGGACCCGAACCCAGTCGAAGTTGAAAAGTTTGCTGAAGTTCAGGTGACTGTAAACATTCCGCCTGCATCTAAGCAATTGTATGCGTTTGAAGTAAGTTTAACACGAGCCATTCTGGGTGAAATATGTTACGCAAGCGTTACTGAAGTAGGATCAGGAATCACAACACGAATACCAGGAGTAAGTTTCAAGTATTTATTTCATTTTAAAATCATACTGAAAAAAGATGATCATGTGATTCACGCATAGTTTCTTATCACCTGAAGTGTCTGATGGTCTGGTTGACTGCTAAAGTGAAAGAGAGCTCATTAATTTCGTATTTTAATCGCTGAATCATTCGCTTTGCCCCTTAAGATTTCGATATTCTAAACAGTATGCATTTCATATTAATCCACACAGTTGGCTGCACTCTTCATTGACACATGATTCTCTATTCAAATTTGTAGGTTTATAATTTTATAAATCACCCTGGAGAGAATCAAACATGCCTTGGATGAAAAACTTCGACCGGAACAAGCTGGATTCAGGAGAAACAAGTCATGCATCGATCAAATCGCAACACTACGGATCATCATGGAACAAAGCTTGGGATGGCAGTCACCTCTCTATCTCAACTTCATCGATTTTGAAAAGGCCTTCGACAGTGTCGATCGAGAGGTGCTTTAGCAACTACTTCGCTACTACGGGGTGTCACCGACAATTATATACAATGCTGCATGCCAAGTAATCCACAACGGGAAACTTACGGAATCCTTCGAAGTGAGGACAGGAGTAAGACAAGGCTGCCTGCTATCGCCAATGATTTTCCTGATTGCAGTAGATTGGATAATGCGACAGACAGCGGACAATGGGGAAACAGGCATGAAATGGACTCACACAAAAACTTGGAGGATCTGGACTTCGCCGATGATATATGTCTGATTTCTCACAAACTGGAAGATATGGAAGCGAAAAGCAACAAGTTGGCAGAAGAAGCATCCAGAGTAGATAGGAATTCAGGTGAACATAGAGAAAACGGAGGTGAATATAAATTGTGCAATTAGTCATAATAGTAGTAATGATAATAATAATAATAGTAATAATAAAAATGGTCTTATCAATAATAAGGATGGAAAAGTGGGGCAATCTGTGATAACACGAATAATGAAAAACAGCATGATTAAACAAACAACTGTTCAGGTGGAAGTAGTCGATTATTATTATTATTATCATTACTACTATTATGACTAATTGCACAATTTATATTCACCATCGTATTATCCTATAGACAAAACACCATGATTGGTTTATATTTGAATTTTATTTGTAAATTTATATATATTAGAGTTAAGCCTGATGACATCTAACTGAAAACAATATTGTTCGCTTAAATGTGTTGTTCTAAATTTTACTATGGGAATACTTAATATATTGAAACATAGAGGTGATGAAGATTCCTGGTCAACAGCAACAGCAGCCACAACAACAGACAACGATCAGCGTTAATGGAAGAAACCTGAAAGAAACAACCTCGTTTACCCACCTGGGAAGCATCGTTTCAACTACAGGCCGACGGAACTGACGAGGATATCAAAGCAAGACAAGCTTTCACTACTCTCAAGTCTGTGTGGAGGTCAACAACACTCAGCATCAAAAATGAGATCCGGATTTTCAACTCCAATGTAAAGTCAGTCAATGCTACTATATGGATCAGAGACTTGCAGTGCGCATCATAAAGAGCATCTCAAACAAACTACAGACCTTCATTAACACTTGTCTTCGCTCAATACTCAAGATCAGATGGCCAGAAAAGATCAGCAACAGGGCTCTCTGGGAGCGAACCAACCTGGAACCGGTTGTGAAACAAATATGCAGGAAGAAATGGAGATGAATTGGCCATACTCTGAGGAAACAATCCATCAAGTGACATCACTAGACAAGCCATTGCTCGAGTGGAACCCGAAAGGGAAGCGGCGAGTTGGTCGTCAGTGCAAGGGTGACTTGAAGGAGGTCATGTGAAGAGGAGATGCAAGTGTGTGGGCAGACTTGGAGCCAGGTGAAGACTCTAGCAGAGAACCAAACGCAATGGAGACGCACGGCTGAAGCCCTATGTTCCTCTAGGAATTAAAGGAGACAATAATAATATAATAATAATTTTGTGCATCAACCACCAAAATGCATCGAAGGAATGCGCAAACACCGCAAACTTGGTTCAAGTCTTCCAGATCATCATACATAAAACAAGGCTAGGTGCATGAGGTGACAGAATTCTGAAAGGTTTTGAACATTATTATAGCCTGACTCATGAATCTTGCAAACAACACACTCTGAAATTGACTCAGATCTACAAATTCTCACTTAAGGATACAAGCGGAATACAGTCACGAGAACACCACCTGAACATCTGACAGGTTAATTAACTTCTTATTTGAGGTACTAATTATTTCCTTATTTGTATGCTGGATTATCAGTAAGGTAATTAGTGTCCCCGAACTCAGCTTGTTAGTATTGTAGTCAACAGACAAGTGAACTCCAATTATTGATGGTCCAGATATATAATGTCTGTTTTTCTTCGTGCATCTCAGCAAGTAGTTGAGTGGGACAAGTTTCCACTATGAAAGATTGTATGCTCACTCAACTCAGCACCAAAACTCAGTGATACCCTACTTGTCCCACCCGCCTTCTATGTGATAGGTATATTGTTAAGCGTGAAACTTATAACTTACTGCGTAAATAGGAAAATAAATGGTTCTTTGATCTCCTCCTATTTGTAATTTATGATGATACAAACTCAATTATCTCATAATTTCAGTTATTAATATTATTATCATTATACTTCTTGTACGTTTTTGACTTTATTGTCACTGTTATAACCAAAATGCTGCCTACCATTATCAATTTTGGTTGCCTTTACCCTGTAATATATATATTTGCTATTGTTGAGTAAAACAGATGCAATATTTTACGAAATGTTTAGAAATTCACGCTGTATTATAAGTATTGTTTTGGAATAAAGCAAATTATTATTATTATTGAAAACGTATGCCACAGATTAACAGTCATGCTCATAAGTCGTTGCAGGTATCACTATTATCATTTTATCAAAGTAAATTCGCTTCTGTTAAAACAGAATATATTTTAACAACTGACAATAACTCAAAAGTGGTTAGCAAGAGGTAACTTCACTGGAGCTGACTGATGCCAGTAAGCTTCTTAAACGAAAAAAGGCGCAGTTAACACGTTTATTTATTCTATATATGTTAGTACTTTTCAGGCTTTTTCCGTCTTACTAACCGTGATAGTTAACCAGAATCATTTCATTGGATTGGGACTAGCAATGTAATCTAGGATGTGAATTTCGTCCTATTTGGGATCCACCAGCTGAACGCATCTGCAATCCTCAGTGAATGGTGTTCTCACTGGGATCGGATATCAGCGCCCAAGGTTTCAAACTCCAAAACGCTACCGAGTAGGTCACTAGCACAGAAAGAGCCATCTCACCTAAAAAACAGGACCCAACACATCAACACAGGTCAGACATTTTGGCCCGACAGAATCAACCAACGAGAAATACAAAATTTGCTCAAATAAATGTTGACTTCATTTAATTTCACGAGATCTTATCAACTGCATATAACCTAAATCAATTTCGATATTAATCAAAGAACTTTAACATACTTTGTTTGGATAGCTAGAATTTGATAATCATTAGTGTTGCCTAACTGGATACACTGGGATTTGGAAAAACAGAAATGCACGTGCCACTTTGCTTTTTGATAAATATAGAAAAGTGAAGAAAATGGAACTAAATAAAAGAAGTCGGATAATAACTGGATTATAGAATTTCTGAGGAATACAGGTTATTTTGGATAGTTAGATTTTCATTACGAACGACTGAAAACCAGCAAGGAACACTCGATATCTGTCTCGTCCCGTTTCGGGACTCTTCGGCAGTGTGCATCCACAACCCCAACAAAGGTGCGATTCAAGATATTCAGGTTACGACATCTAACTCATTCATTCAAGTTGGAACCAGAAGTGAATTCCCACATTGTGAGGTCATGATGTAGATCCCCCCTCACCATCGCCTCCATCTACCATACACTCCACTTTGACAGAGTGAATCCCATGATCATGAATTCCGCTTGCAGATTCAGGAAATCCACGCAGTAGTCCCTAGTGAGCTGGCAACTGGTATTCAGAACATACAATTTGTGTGGTTTTCTGACAAATCCTAATTGTTGGATTTTCCTCACAAACCGAAGTTGGAATTCAAAATTCGCCTGAATTCCATCCCAAGAAGCTAAGTGGTCTGCAAGGTTGTTCTCGTAAAGTGAAGGTCTCGGTTTCAATTCCAAGATTCCCAAAATGGGATGAAACAATTCCCCCAGTGCTCCTGGCTGATTTTCAATGACTTCTCTAACTGATGTTGCTTCACTTGAAGAAAATCCAACAACAGGATAACAGTTAGATGTGTAAGAAAACAAGTGGCACAAAACATAAACTGAGGCGTATGAAATGATACTCTCAAAATTAAATGAATTAACCTAGTTGAAATAAAAAAAATAAGGTTAACACTATTGTAGAGAAATATTAATAACCGTTGGGTTGTAACCGTTTAATTTCTTCTATTTCTGTCATTTGTCATCAAATAGAAGTAGTTTGTACTTTTAGATCGAATAAATTTGACAAGAACCAAAGATATCATTCTACCTTATTCAGTTTGTTGCTCAACAATTAACAGAATACTCAAGAGGTAGTCTGTAATGATTTGATTTTTCCCAAGTTTGTTGATGGATTAATATCTGTTAGAGAACCATTGACAACCAAGAAGACAAGACAGCTGTTTCCTCTTGGTTTGCTGCTCTTCTACAGTACGCACCCATGAAAGTTTGAACTGAGGACGTTCGAGTCAAAAGTTCTAGCTCACATACCATTCACCCACTTGGACAGGAATCAATGGCCACCTCATAAATTCCAGCTTGTACCAATTAGTAATTTCAACTCTGTTACCAGTGAATGACATTGGAGACTATGTACTCTAGCGCCCAAACGGGTGCACACTACTGGCTACGACTTCTCAGTAGAACTTCGGTCAACCTCTTCCCATATCCGGGTACTAGCGAGCGTCAGATTAATTTTCGAGAGTTTGCGTGTCAAGATTAATTTATTTCAAGTGTGACCACGAATCTTTTCACTGAAGTCATCAACTAGGCTGTACATTCATGAATACATAATAAACGGATGATGAAGTTCTAGAACTATTCCCGATCTAAAGTCAATTTATGAGGAATTACAAGACAGAAGCACTATTTGATACTGATAGGGATCAAAATCGTCATAAGAGAAAAAAATAAACAGGAAGATTGAATACAAACTACAATTGGATAATGATAATTATTCAGAAAGTGGATTGCTTATGATGACCGTGGAGTAAAGACAAAGGATAAATGTACTTCTGTTAGATATGTATCTTTGTCTTAATCGTTAATGCTACAGCTTAGCTTAGATGTCTTGATCCCACTGTTTTGTCTTTACCATTGTCATCATAAATAGTCAATTTCCTCAATAGTTACTGTCCGACTCTGCTTTTTAACCTATCTTCCGGTTCATTCTCCTTACCATTACATTTTTAATTCCTATTCTCACTACGTATTTTTCATGTGGTCATTCGTTTTCATTTGATCTTTGACCTGAAATAGTTCTGAAACCTTCTTACCTATTTGTTATGAATTCAAAAATGTGCAGTCTAGTTGATGACGTCGTTGTAAAGGAAGTTTTTCTCTTTTGCAACCGTTTTTTCTAATCTTTCTTATGATCTGATGCGTTTATTCCTCCATGTTTATTTTTTTATGCAACAGATGAGATTACACGTGGAGTATGAAATGCAAAAGCTGACATTACTTCGAACACTTGCAACAGTGCATATTGGAGTATTAGAAAATCCAACAAATAGTAGCCAAGATTATTATATTGTATTCAAAATCGTAGTGAAGGCACGTTCAGATCCAGCTTATCCAACTGTTACTGATACTCAAATTGATACAAGATATCTTATCATGGGATCATCTCGGAGACAAGATTCTATTATATTTTCGATTATCAACACAGCTATTCCACCAATTACGGTAAGCTAAAGTAGTTTTACATTTGTTTTAATTTGTAATCGTCATTTTGTAAAAGTTCACCTTTATAACTTTAATTATCGCTCTAACAATGATAAAACTAACTCACGAATAATCCCTATAAACTCATGAATGAAAGCAAAAGACGTTCTTCAGCGAAGAGACTCTTTTCGGTAAATACATTTGCCTTAGCTCTACAATCGCAGACCAATCGAAGACTGGTCTACGGAAGTCTTTAGTACAAAATCTCGCATCTAATCACATCTGTGTGCATATATCAGTTCATTCGTCTCTGCGTAACTAGGTTTGTTGATCGTCTAAACGGATCTTGTCTAAAAGGGTTCAAGAACACCCTCCCACAGCAAAGCGAAGAACAACCTGCCAAAGGCATTATTCTTTAGTCTCCTTTGCGCTACTGAAGCTTAAGGCATTCAGTTAAAAAAGCTGGAGATATGCATACGAAAGAAAATTATTCAACCACTTCTACCATCATAGTAACAACCTGGTTGATTTCCAATGACTTGGTTTCTGTTTGTTTGTTTTTCTAAATCCTTTCAACTCTTGTATTTCTCTAGAACTCTCGCATAATTGCATATTCTCCTTAGTTTATACGTACATCCTAATTATAACTCATTCTTTAAACTACTCATCTTATTACGTAACTTTGATACACTTACTGAAATCCTTTTATGTGTCGACTAACAATAACAGCAATGTTTGTGACAACTTGTCACTTTGTTTACTACCGTCTTTCAAGAAGAAATAGTTAAAAAATGTAATTGTAGAGCCAAAGAGGAAAGTGAACTCTCTGTGAAGATCCTCTTCGCTGAAATCCATGTTTTATTTTCATGTAACTAACTATCAAGAGATTTAATGTTACTTGTTTAAAATTTAACTGAGATGGGAAAAATATTTTCCACGTATCTGAATAATGAATTAGCAGGTTGCTTAAAATTTACATTCTTTGAAAAGAATTTTATCAAGCCCAAACGTTCGTGACTTAGTTATATAAAAACCTGTTATTTAGCTTGAAATAGCTGGATTCAGGAAAGGCAAATCATGTTCTGACCAAATTGCAACTCTACGTATCATCATCGAACAAAGCATGGAATGGCAATCAAACCTCTACCTCAACTTTATAGACTTTGAGAAGGCCTTCGACAGCGTTGACCGAGAAGTAATTTGGAAACTACTTATGTACTACGGCGTCCCTCAAATATTCATCAACCTTATTCAACAGCTGTACGACAACGGCACATGTCAAATGATACACAACGGAAAACTCAGCGAAGCGTTTGAAGTAAATACAGGAATCAGACAAGGGTGTTTATTATCACCAATGATATTCCTTAATTGTGGTGGACTGGATTATGCGTCAGACAGTGAGAAACGAGAAGACAGGGAGATCCTGGGCCGACGTGAAGAACCTAGAAGACCTGGATTTCGCAGATGACTTATGTCTGATGTCACACAAGATCGAAGACTTACAAGCGGAAAGCGACAAACTGGTCGAAGAAGCAGCAAAGACAGGACTGCAGGTGAACATAGACAAGACGGAGGTCATGAAAATAACCAACCAACAACAACAACAACAAAAGCAGCAACATCCAGCACCAATCACCATCAACGGGAGGGATTTGAAAGAGGTCACTTCATTCACTTATCTAGGGAGCATTGTCTCAACTACAGGAGGAACGGACGAGGATGCCAAATCGAGAATCGGGAAGGTGAGAAACAAATTCATCAACCTGAAACCAGTCTGGGAATCTTCGTCACTCAACTCAGCATCAACAACAAAATTCGGATTTTCAAAACAAACGTCAAGTCAGTTCTTCTATACGGATGGATCAGAAACTTGGCGGGTCACGAAGAATATTTCCAACAGGTTGCAGACCTTTATCAAAACAAGAACCAATCGCCCAACAAATATGCAGGAGAAAGTGGAGATGGATTCGACACTCGCTGAGGAGGCCGCTGGGTGACATCGCGCGTCAGGCCCTCTGGTGGAACCCGAAAGGGAAGCGGTGAGTGGGAGGTCAGTGCAAGAGTGACATGGAGGAGATTGTCTGAAGAGGAGCTGAAACAGTATGGACTAACATGGATGCAGGTGAAAAGTACAGCAGAAGACAGAAACAAGTGGAGACGTGTTGTTGAAGCCCTATGTTCCACTAGGAACTCAAGGGAACAATAATAATATAATAAAAGCTTGAAATATTTTCAATTGTTGTTTTTCACCAGTGTTGATGGCAGTAACAGATATACTTTGCAGTGTATCATTCAAAGTATTCTCGATTCTAACGTGGGTCAATTTTTTACAGATGTTTTGAATAGGAATAGTCCTAATGACCTCATATGGTGCACTTTATGCACGCTGAAGCATCGGTTGAAAGGCTTGAAAGTATGACTGTCACCATGAAAAAAAACCTATCTTCACTACACGTGATTCGTTTTGTTATCCTTGAGTCTTGAAGTACACCATCTTAATGTTCAGCTATTAGACGTTGAGTGTGACCTGTCAGACTCTATCAGTTCAGCTTAACAATAATAGAAAGGCGAAATAGTCAGTCGAAATACATACAATACAAAAAATCACCAGTTGATTCATGCCGGTATGCACGTCGGCCACCTGCATATGTCATTCAATAACTTCAAAATGAAATAAGTAGTCTCAGCTCTAGAAAAAGAAAGTAATTAAATTGAATTTATAGAATTTTATTTCTGAGTGATAAACCATGCGTACCAGTCAACAAATGAAAAGTCGGTTAATAACGACGACACAATAATATGGTAATATTGGTCCAAAAAAAATAGAAAAAGACATCTAACTCGGTGAAGCAGAAACTAGAAACAAAATAGTACTGATCCGCATCAGTAAGCCCGGTGATTACGCCGTGACATGTCTGCATTTGTCTCACAAGCATAGAATTTGGACGCAGCTTGTAGACAACTCACAAATGACTTGTGTTAATTGATGAAGTAGATACACTTTGCAGCACAAAATCCGGTAAATTCTTATCAGGCTGTACAATTACATAATAAAATATCAGATACAGACATTTTAAACAATACAGATCAACAGAAACGACTACAATCTTGGATAATTTAAGTAGATTAAAATATACAACTCTAGCAAGGTATCATATTTATAATAAAGTCAGCAGTATAGGTAGAAATAAAAATAACATTTACAGTTATCCAATGTCACTAGGAGAGATAACTATTCTAGGTTAGGGTTCAAGTACATAGGAAGGAGAGGGATAGGACAAGCTTCTTCTTAGCACAGGCACCTTATCAGGTTTGTTTAGCAGCTGAAGTACTATGCACCTAAGTAATTGAGGTGGCACCTTGTGTAGAACTGCAAAAGCCGAATTTTATCAACATTGTGCTCCTTATCCACCACTGAGTGTGCCAATATGAAAATCCTGGGCAACCTCACGGCTGCTCTTACTGACCATGTTAGAAAATACCTAAGAAGGTAACGATGGACTTGCAGGGTCGTTCTACCTATATAACTGTGTGCACATGAACAGTTAAATTTATAAACGCACACTGAGGACGCCAGACACGGTATCTTATCCTTCACCTGCATTGAAATTATACAAGGATAAGTGAATTTTAAAATTCTCTTCTTGGGAAGTAGATACACACATAAATCCGGAATTCTTCTTGATAAAGTGAAGTTTGAAATACTTCTGCTCAACTAATCTTTTCTAGTCTCCTAATGAAAACGAGATAGGTGGAAAATCAAGCGCATTTACTTGGGTGCTTTCCAAAATGTGTTCTTAAATTCAGATGACTATTACTATAGAGGGAAAAGTAGCGAAAAGACCCAATTCCAAATGACAACCTACAACCAGACGTATTGAGATCTACTTTATGCTTTAAATGGTTATTACAACCAAAATAACGATAACAGCAACCTTCAGCTTTTGTGCTTCTTTAAGGAAAATGGCTGGCTCAAACACAAAGGATTACCGACGACTAGTAAGCGGTCATTGAGAATATTCATTTAGTTACGAACGCACCACAAGGAACAGTAATCTAGTTAAGTGGCCAGCAGCAGCTAATAAACGGATTATTCACTCACCAGAATAAAGACGACGCATTAAAGCGGGAAACACAGTATCACAACAGCGGGAGAACATAACTGAAGCTGACTCGCAGTAAAAAGAAGAATTGAACACCTGTTATACCTGTGATGCCAATTGTTATAACGGTGATGAACTCAACTCGTACTTTAATACGCATATTTGTCCGTTGTATCTTCCGCTTCACTAAGCCACACAAATATAAAAAGAAAAGGGCTGGCTTGTGACTGTAAGATACTGTATATTTATCAGGAAACAACGCCTCATATTTATAGATTTTGTTTACCACAATAAAGTCGTCTCACAGCCATGAAAAATGATTGATCACCCAATAAATCGCAATATGGGGGTAGACAGTGACAGCTTATTCCATAACACTGATATGCATTGAGGCTGACACAATTGTAGCATCTCTAAGCGAAACATTTACAGCGTTCACTGTTTTTCAGTTGTCATCAAGGTAGAAACTCGCGTACAATCGCCAGTGCATCTACTACTCAAAGTTCTAGCCTTCGTCAAACATCAGTGATTCAGTTTCCTAATCCCCTCTGATCTCAATATTTTTCTGTAAGGCTTAAGTGGATGATTTGCGAATACAGTTACAATGACAACTATACAAATAAGTACTGCATTACTTTTTCTGTCGTTCACTTGACAATTTATAAGTTTGTGAATAACAGAGATAATGGAACATTTTTTATTTGCACTCTTTTTTGTTATTTAGGCAGTTAATTCCCCTCAAATAAATATTTACAGATCAGAGCCACTACAAACAGAACCAATGGATACATATCAAGCAATAGTAAATGCAGAGATCAGTTGGTCTGAACAGGTTATCTATAGTCCAATAAAGTTTACACTTTCAATTACGGGCTCCAGTTCGACTGTATTGGAACAAAAATTTATTTCCATCGGAAGGTCACTACCTACTTTAGTTCCTATCAACGCAAACATGTCGATTGTAAAGTAAGTATTCCTGAATCCCTGAAATGGTTCTTCCTTATGGAATGCTAATGAAAGTTTCTACTCATCTTATTATTATTTGGCTTCTTTGCATTTCTAATGGAATCTTCAAGGTCGGGCTTTCAAGTTTCAGCAGCCGTGGTGTTTATTTCCCACGTGGTGAGGTTAGTGACCTCACGGATAACCTTTGCACTCTACTGGCCTTATTACCGGCTAAGTGCGGTTTAGGAGTACGCCGGCTGGGGATCGAACCTCTAGCCGCGTGTGTGGTGACTGATATTCTCCACTGGACCACTAAGGGTATAAAATGCTGGAAATTTCAGGCAGTGAGAATTACTTTTGAGGAAGTAATAACAATGAAGCTGTTGTGACACGCAACTTCAAAGAAGTCCTACTGTGACCAGTATATTGAAAATCATATCCTTCGCAATCCGCTGTTTCTTCCCTTACACTGTTTCTTAGGTAGTGGTATGTTCATGCTTAGAACACTGGGAGAATTTAAACGAAAATTCATATGATGAAAATAACTCATGACGTATCTTTCAAAAGAGATATATAAATGCAACCAATAAGTAGCCCGCACACGGCTTTCACTGACTTCATAAGACCATGTAATATAAATGATGCATTGGGTTTAGCAATGCACCAATCTTTGAAACAGTTAGTGGCTTCAGTTAATAAATTAAGGATCATTTAGACCCATCATAGATAAGTGGAATTCCGCATATTATAAAAATGCCAATGGCTACGGATATCCTTCCAACGCGTAAGAGATTCCTTATGAAAGTATTCCATAAAAAATTCACTCATTCTTGTTAACACACTCACCACACTATTAGCATTAAGAAAAAGGTTGTGTACCCAACTGACAAAAAATCTTTGTTCACCAATGTTCCACTTCCCGAAACTGTTGAATTTATTTATGATGATATCACAACCAACTAAATACAATCACCTTTCACTTACATTAGAAATATCCTGACATGTACAGTCGACATCCGATTCGATTTCCATGGAAAAACATAGAAGCAAATTGATAGTGTTGTAATGGAGTTGTCTTGATCCTCTGTCAACAGATACACTTACATCGAAATCGGAAAAAGAAATGGAAAGTATGCTGATTAACTTTACTCTGGTAACAATAATAAATCAGTTGACAAATTCATTAATCTGTTAGGCGATACATATTTCACAAGCAGACATGTAGTGGATACTGTTTTCATTTCAGTAGTTATCTATGGACAAACAGAAGTTGTAACAGTGGGATAACCGATATTCTCAATCCTATCAGATGAATTTATGGATTTCTGGAAGAAAATAAAGTTATTTATGCATTTCAACATAATACAAAGATATGGGGGAGATATGTAGATGACAATTTCACAGTGTTGGAAACAGAATATGTCTATGTTTTCTTCACATACGTGAACTCAGTAGTAAAAGGAACACAAGTAGTGTTTGAATAAGATAATGTGCGTCGGTGGCACAGTCATTAAAACTCTCGCCGACCATGCAAATGGTCCGGGGTTCGATCCCCCGCCGACGCACACCTGATATCTATGGTTGGCCTGCAAAATTCGGGGTACCGATATCTTATGCTGAAAATTCCATACCTGTACCAAAAAATACGGTGTGGAATCAAGCTGTAATCAAAAAAAGGAAAATTAGCCATGTCAGAGTGCAAACTAAAACGAACAGAATAAAGCAAACCGCACATTAACGTTTCTAAAACGCCAACACATTTGAATAGATATTTAGACTTTAATTCATCTCATCCATTATCTGTAAAGGCAGGCTTAGTCAAGTCTCTAACAAACCGAGCAATAACATTGAGTGTTTCAACAACAAGAAACCTTAACGATGAAATGAAACGGATAGGTGAAGTGTTGGTGTTAAATAACAGTCCTATGAAAACCATCAAGGAGATCCAAAATGGTCAGAAGCAAAATAAAAAAGATAGTGAAACTAGTAATGATAACATAAATAAGGGTATTCAGAGTGTTTTGATATAAGTAAGAGATATCTGAAACCATATGTAGGACTCCTAATAAATCAGGAGTTAGCGTGGCATTCCAACCTGAAAACCCACTCAAAGACAAGTTTTTTAGGATAAAGGACCCTAATGACCAAGTTAGACAAAACAATGTGAATTACAAACTATCTTACAGTGATTGCGAGGTCAAAACAGTAAATCAAGGATAGTCGGATTATCAGAATATATTAATTCAGCTAAAGTTAGAATGACTGGCGGTGAGAAGATAGGTAATTTATTTTTTTTTTTTTCCTTTAATTGGCCAATGTCGTGGGGACCCAACGTGGAAGTCTACACTTCACTGCGACAGGGAGAAATTCAGCAACTGCTTTGCATGCATTAACGCATAAACACACAATGGTGTGGGATGGAGCTGCAATTCTGAAAATTAATATAGATAGAAGGAGAGGTTGATTACTGAATCTTTTTTATAGAATCTACACCCAAAACAAGCGATTGGAATGACTCATCATCAATACTACAGATTTGGAAAATATCACTAACAATCAAGTCAAGCTATGAAACATGATGGAATTATCTAAATGAAGTGCGAAAGCTGTATGAGTATCTTGCTTGATAAGGTTACGAGCAGCAATAAGTTGTGCTCAAACGTCATCAGTAAATATTACTGTATGACACTGTTAAGCTTTATTAATATAACTTTCTCCATAATGCAACCGTATACACTCTGTTTGAGTAGACACACAGCATAATTCATTGCAAAGCATTTACTAATATTTGATAACAAAATGAGTTTAAATGACTGCTTTCTAGTGACGTCATATAACTTAACTTTAAAGTTATTAAACTTGATGAAGTTCTTTAAGGGGCTAATCAAATGCACCGCGAACTTTGTGTACAGAAAACAGTAGACTTCAACCCTTGCCCACCAAACATGAACTACTTGACCTATCAAATATGATTGGTAATTAGCATTTACTTTTGTTTTATATGACCGAGCAATTGTCATACATTTAATTTGATAATTGTGAACCATGCTAGTTGTAAAGCGATCGTAAAGATCCATGAAATGATATAATTTCACGATACTTGGCATCATTATCATTGCATAACCGTACAAATGAAGACAGTATTGTTCAAAATACCTCAAACGTAATGTTTGTCGGCTGTAATTTACTGGATTCCCAAGGAAATCAGGATTAAGATGTCGGGAGTACTGATAACTATTACAGTTTTTCTCATATTCCGCAAGCAATTAAGAGAAAGCAAACAACTCAATAAACCTTTTTTCATTGATTTGTATACCGAGTGGAACATAGGGCTTCAATATAGAATTATGGAGTTTCAATATCGCTGATGGTTTTTCTTGGGTTACAGGCGCTAGCTTCACTCCCAATATTTTCCTTTTATTAAGCTTAATACCACTTAGTTGAGGTTTACAAGTGTGTCAACCGGGAATCGAACTCCTGACCACGTGATGATTTACGAGCATTCCACCAGTGAACTTATTCAGGAACATTTAATTCTTCATAATACTTTTGCATACCACTTTTTCTGCTCAGTGAAGTGTGACAAGCATAAGTAATTTCTGTCCAAAATTAACAACAATCGAAATTTTTAACAGGGTAATGTCAATTTCTATCACTTCGATTTACACATGAGTTTGACTTAATTTATTACCATCGTTTCATTATCTGATTAAAATGAATAATTTAAATAATTCGTTAGAAGTTGTAATTCATGAGCCATTGAATCGGGTCCCAGTGGCTGAATGGTCTACGAGCTTGCCTTGTAATCGGAAGGTCCTGCATCGGAACCCCAGTGAATACAAGCCACTGAAGAGTCCTGGACTAGGTCGAAATACCCCTTCAGTACTCCGAGGTTTTCTAATGGTTCTCTAACTGGTGTCAGCCAGTGATCAAACTTGATATAAATCAAATCCCTTAAATTTACTCTTGAAAAATAAGAACTACTGCTTGGTATCTGATGTGTTATGTCATATCCCTGTGTACAAAAACAGTGAGTGAACTCATATTCACGTTAATGAACACGCCTTTTTCCTATTTGTTTCTACAACTTTAAAGCAATATTGCAGTTATCGAATTCCCTTCAATTTATGTTGATTCTACATCGAATAACTATGATGCCAAACTAACTCTTTGGTATGCAATCAAGATCATTGGAACAGCAAAATTTTCAGCAAAATTGGATGTATCTATTGGAGCTTATTTAGTCAGTGGTCAGGTTGCTTTTTCACCGATTGCACTTTCAGCTCCTCCACAACTGGTAAGTCTTCAATTTGATTTTACAATTTCCATCATTCCGTCAAGTAGGGATAGGACTCAGTGCCTCGCAGTGTGATGGCTGCTTGAGCATCTATGTCTCCCAAAATATTAAGTCGTCTACAAATGATTTAGTATCCTCACGCTCATACTACAATTAGGTGTCGTGTCAACCCTTACACGCTGGAATCCGGAGCATAGTTTATGGTCACCAGTCTGGCGTAATGGGCTAAACCAAACGCATGGTCTAGTCTGGACACCGAAAGGAATACTTAAGCTTGCCTAGCCTTGTGTCGGATATGGAATATACCGTTGCAAATATGGACGGGGTTCAAACTTAGAGACGTTCTGTCAGTCACTCAGATGGTAGCTTTGCAACATTGTCCTTTCGACTAGACACATATATCAACTGTCTCAACCTGAGGTTCCTCTCTTACTATACAGGATTACCATAACAATGGCCAGATTTTACTTCACTGACTACTGTACTCACTAGTAGAGTATATATGGCCCACTTGGCCCTCACATTCAATGCAAAACTCCATTCAAGCGAATTAAGCTTCTCACTTATTTAAAGTTTGAGAACAGGTTGAGGATGTTTTCTCCCCAATATCTCTAGTCATTCAATTTATCGGATAAAATGGTTTATTCGTCGGAATGAAGTTTTTCCAGTGAGTATAAAATCAGCTTGTGTTTACAAATTAACTGCAAAACATAATTTAAATGACAATTAATTTCGAAAATTATATTCACATTGTTTATTATGTAGAAGACGTATTGAGGAATATGCCTAATTTCCAAGAGTATGCTCTATGAAATAAAAAGAAATAAGCATTACGAATACGGATCATTATAAGTTTATGCTACAGGGAGGAGAATAATTCATTTTGCAGCTCTGATTACTATTTGATACCAGTTAGAGAACTACTGAACACCACCAAGGAATCCTGGACAGTCAATTCATCCTTTTTTGGGAGTCTCTGTCGATAGGCACCTATCACCCCACCAGGGATTAGACTGAGCGAGTACCTTACGTTTACAAGTGAAGTGGCATACCATTGAACCACTAAGGCCGAATCCAATGGCCTTACGAATTCTATCTTCTGTCAAATCACGATATTTAGCACGAACGATAGTCAATATCAACGATGAATTATATTTCTCACAACCAACTTGATTGACTCAGTCGGTCATAACTTAACACTTCTTCCTCCTCTAACCAGTCAGTAGCGAACACTAGTTTAGTTTTCATTTCATTAAATGCACACTGGTCAGATATTACGGCTCCTCCCTGAATGCGAAATTTGTGAAGTCTGTCTGTGGCATTCCTCGCATTTCTAAATTTTTTATTGAGAGATTGGTGTATCAATTACTGAGTATATCACATGAATTTGTTGCTGCTTCTTATTATGTTTTCGTCATCACCAAATCTTTTCTGATACAATAGTTATTTGCTCAACAAGCGAGGGAGGCAGCTACCATTGCTGACAGTCTGTTTAAGAAATGAAATTCGTTGTGTCTTAGACCCGGTGATATGATTTTCTTCTTTCAGAGTCTGGACCCATGTTTGGTTCAAACATTGACATTTAGCTCTCATCACTCTTAAAAGCATTTATTATAGAGTGGGAGGAGATTATTTATAACTTAAATATGGATCAGAAACACGGAAAATCACGGAAAGCATTTCCAAAAGGCTATTGCAGACCATCATCAACAGTTGTCATCGCTGGTTCTACGTTGAAGTTCAGATGGCCGGTCAGAACAAAATAACAACAGAAAACTCTGGGAACGAACCAATCAAGAATCTATTACTCAATAAATATTCCAAAGAAAAATGGAGATGGATGTGGCACACGCTGATGTGACCACTGGACGACATAGCGCGCCAGGCAGAGCCTTAAGTGGAACAACTTGAATGGAAAATGATGAGTTGGGAGCCTAAGGGTGATATGGGGGATATTGTTTGAGCAGAAGATGAAAGCTTACTGGGAATCTGATTTATGGTAGTAGTTAGCACTGAAGTTCAGTATTTGAATTTTGCTCTACACGTGACTTGTTACCAGATGAATGTATCTGTATTTCCAGACACAGAGTATTTCAGGGCATTCAGAAGTGATCAACGAAAAATAGTGAGTATTCTAAACAAATAATAAATCTTGCTTACTTGAATATTCATATAGATTCCTACGATGTACCCCTAATCATTATTCATTGTGTTCCATGGCATAGAATACTATTTTGATTGTGTATGCATCACCGACTTTACGTCATAACTTATTCGTTTCAGACCTAGTCACCTGACAGCCATTCAATATATCTCTATATTACATAAACTAACAAGTTTAAAAGTGTAAACTGTAAATTCTGATTTTGTCCAAGGAGCAATAACTTAAACAGGATAGTATGATATCGTGTCACTTCACTGATGCCTTTCAACTGCCTACAACCCAAAATTGTTATTTTAATATCAATGTGCGACACTTTCCTAAACTTTGGTTATTCACCGTGAAGATGAAGGCGCTTAATATCATACAAATGAGAAGTAGGATGAGAAGGAGGAAAATTTATTATCCGTGCTGCTAATATGTAGAAAAATGTACAAGAAAAGAAGATCAGTGAATATTTACCCTTTTCAGTGATATCATCCTCAAGCTTTTCAGTCGCATATATATATATATATATGTAGTAAACCATCTTAGCAACAAAAGGAGCGAGTTATATTGGCCGTTGCTCTAGGAACTTGATTTTTCGTGCTCGAGAACACATCCCACTATGGCTAAGTAAAGGTGTAGTTAAAACTATTAACAGCTCAATATTAGACCATCTGGTGCAATCCGGTCACAAAGCCAGCGTAGACGAATCCTTCTCTATAATCTACCGTGTGCCTAACAAATTACGAAACTCGTCGAAGCACCGCTTGCTCCAAACAGCAAAGGCTATTGCAATTCGCCTTAAATAACCAGTGCTCTGTGTTCAAAAGAAACAAGTCCACCCCCCACTACTGCCCTGGCCCTCAGTAGAAACTATAAACTCATGAATTTGTACTGTTACCTTTCCTAATTCTTCTGACATTCAGTTTATTTTATGTTGATGCTGTTCAGCTGTAATCTATCAATATTATTGATTCGATGTTATTTAAACAATATTAATGTCGTTCATAAGACTAATTCATTCATTCATTATAATGTATATATAACTGTAGAACATGATGATGAATTTATCGAGAAGAGTACTCTTTGTTCCGTGTCCATTCTTTTGAAAAGGAATATTTTCAAAGATGCATCATTAGGATTGTAGATTTTAGACAGCAAATTATGCAACATAAAAAGCATTCATAGGATAGAAACTGAAGTAGAATTAAATAAGTAAATTGAATGACCCAATATAATTGACGGGATTCAGTAGGATTCAACTAAAATTGAACAACAGTCAAGTTAACAGCAGTGGTACTAAGGAGTGGAGATTTAACACACTGGTGAGGGAAGAAAATAATGCAATTAACATAGACAAAACCAAAAATTAGCTGTCCACTTTTAATACAGAGCAGGCTTATCGTAGATTTAGTGGCTGAACAAATTTCGTCTGTATGAAGGGTTCGGGATTTACAATGTGAATTGTCATTGCTTCTGCGGCTTGAAGTAGTTTGATTCGTACTGCTTTGGTGAGATTCCCACGTATTCTGTAAATGATCATGCATTTGGTTTGTGGGTTAACCAGGTGTCCAGATTCGATCAGGTGTTCCAGGATAGAGCCGCAGGGTGATCTTTTTTTTCCCTTATAAAACCACTAGGATAAATGTTCGATGATACGTTTGGATAGCGAGCCCTCAGTACGGCCACCATACTTAGCTGCACAGAAGCAGGTGAACTGATAGATGCACGATGATGAGGCCAACAGCGGTCTTGTGGAGAACGTTACCTGAAGTTCAGCTGCGAAGAAGGTTTTCTTCAGTGAGCAGGATAAGCGGTTTCTCAGTATGTCTGCTGATGACTGTCCACTGAATTGTAGATTCAGGCAAAGATGTCTATAAGGAGCAGAAAATTTGTGCAGTTTTAATTGTTTGGGCTTCAATGACTTTATGGTGAAATGTTCGGGGTGGCCATATTCGCTAGCGGTTTTTCTTAGAATGTTAAGCTTCTCTTCCATAATGTCAAGGCAACCAATGCTGCAGATTTTGTAGCTCACTGAAAGGGTCAAGCCTTGTTTTGTACGCAGCTTTGGAAGTTAGGGAGTTCTCCACTCCCCGTAGGCCTTCTGAAGATGGATGCTTTTAGTGTTTCACCTTGTTCACACCTTGCTGGTTCAACGTGTAGGAAATCTATATTTGAGTTGGACTCCTTCTCTGATGTGAACTGGATTGCAGTGCGGAAGCTGTTGGAAAAATCCAAGAAGTCTTCCGAATCCTCTCCATTTTGGAGACAACGGAATTATAGAAATAAATAAACAAATATTCTAGAATTAGGAATTACGTCTGTTGATAGTGGTAAATGCAGTCAGTATATACTGTTTGTGTCCGTTTCAATTAGATGCCAACTAATGTTTCTGGTTAGGGCTTTTAGTATTCGTTTGCAGAACTGAATAAATGTTAACGTCTCCGTCTTTCCAATCTACCTGCTGTGCCGTGTACGTGTGAAAATGTAAATGCATTTTCATTTGAATCCAGATGGATACCAGTCTACTACTATTTGATGAAGTGTACGACTAGTGCAGTAAACTCGAACTAATTTAGCTGTAAGATAGGTTTTATCAATGGCAATTCTTAGCTTCTCCTGAAGGTAAGCTAGACGAATACACACTTCGTGTATGTAACAAAGGTCAACTCATTACTTAGATTTTTTTCAAAGCGTCTCATTAGTTTCACTGGATAACTGTTTCCAGAAAAGTGTTTTATCCAAATCCAGACAATTCAGTGAAATCCACCTCCCTATGCAATCTATCTTTAGAACAAAGTTTACGCGTGCTCTCACCAGTAGCTTTTTGCATTTTATTCCGAAGAGACTACCATACTTTAAATACTGTCTATTCTTGGTGTCCCCAAGGTATATTCCTCTCTCAAGTGTACTATTGCCTTGTCTTTGCATCAATAAATCTAGGAAGCAAAACTAACCTTTGTGTTCATACAGCATTATGAAACTAATGTTTTGATGCAGATAACTGAAGATTTGAAATAATTTGCAAGCATGTCCCACGTCCTTGCAACTCACGAATGTATTATCTATATAGACCACATGAAAACCTAACAATAAATAGGTGTGAGTATAAACTGCCACTCATTGATGCAATTGCATAATTAAAACGATCCGGAATATAGTAAATAACATACATTTTGATGGATAGAAAATTATTTGGCCCAGTGATTTAAACAGTCCGTTAGTCATAAATTTGCTTTTATCGTCAAGTTTAAACCTATATGTAAAATAAAGCGTAAAGAAGAACACATTATATCAGTATCTTCACACAGGACGACAGTATTGTCATCTGCATACTGAAATTCAATAAGAATCTTTCTTGACAATAAGTCAATTCCTCAGTCCCTGAAGTTAGTCAGGGTCAAATCCATTAGTACATCTACGATGTACTGATTAATTTGATGCTATACTTAAAAAGAAGGCTAAAAGCTATCTAACGCATTAAAAAACTGTTATAAAATGGCTTCTGAGGACCGAAGTGACCATTATTTTGAAAGCCTGACTAATTTCCACTGTATATCTGGAGTCAGTTACTTAGGCTTTCAAATAATCAGTACACGAAGAAGACTGTTGTTACCTCTGTTCTTAGAAGCCAGTGCTATCAAAAGACTTTGTCCTAACTTCTGTGTACAGGAAGAAAGCATGAATAATGTCTCACTACCCTGGTAACCGTAATTGTTTTGTTTGTGTGCTTTTGTGTTTTGTTCTGTTGCATAACATTCCAATTAAATTTGATTTTCATTTTCATTTATTGAGTTGAACTCACTATTAAGTTTCCTAATCTACTTTATTGTTTTTGTCTATCTTATAATTTCACTTTACTATTCTGCCTCAGCCTCCTGAGCTCTCCATCATAATATGTATAAATTCACCCTGTTGATCTACACTGTAATTTTTCTCTGGTCCGTCCTTGTTTCAAAGAGAAATCTAAACTCTAACCCTTCTTGTTTAATAACACTATAATTACTTAGTCTTTTAACACTGAATACTTCGTCTACTCACATCATTTTGGAATTATATTAACTACACTTTCTATCTATAACTTGGGGTCATTGTAAAAGTTATCTTCAGAAATCTCATAACTTTTAATTAGTTTTGTTCAGAATATACGCATTTGAAGAGAATCAGTGAAATAAAGGGAGGTCGTACTATTCTGCTTGTTCTCTCTTTATTCAATCAATGCTATTAGTCCTCCAAATGAAGTTTTGTGAATTAAAGAAATTCCAATAAATAAGGAATTAGGTTGAATAGCATGAGGGAGTTATTGAAGACGTCCCACTAACTAGAGAAATATATTGGCTAGGAATCAGCAATGTAATCCATAAAGTTACTATATGAGTATGTGAGTGATATTTGAGTAATGGAAGTGATTCAGATAGTCAATAGCTCTCAACAATCCAAAGAAATATGAATGCATCATATTATTCTGTTCACATCTTTCTTCTCGATTTGTTAACTCCAACGCTAATTACGAACTGGAAATGGAACCTGTGGCAAATCATCTTCATGATTTCCAAACAGACCAAGTCCATGAATGTGTCCACAGTTAGTAGTACAAGTAATGATGAAAGTCCGTTTGTAAAACAGACGTATTCACTTGTTTTACACAAACAATGTGAGAATGAAATGCAACCAATAAGATCACTGGACAGACACGAAAAATTACCAACCAAGTTCCTTATTTGTAATGCACTTTCTAAAGCCTGATTGGATAATTCAAGCTGAGAATAATATAAAATGATATTTACTAGAATCACTAGGATTCTTCCTATGATTAATGCATTCTTGTATGTACAAGTTCATTTATTTGTAGAACACAGATGGCAAAGACATCCATAGCGAAATCACTTCTTAAGTGTTGCTTTGAGGAGGTTTGATTGATTTCCACCCAGCGCTTGTTATTGACTGATTACAGGATGATCTTACTTGAAACTGCAATGAGAAGTCATGATAAATGGGGTCTACCGGGTTGGGTGTGGTAGTCAGACTACATTGCCAATCAGCAGGAGTTAGAGTATAAGTGGGCCACAGAACTGCGTCCCAGTAGCTCAATGGTATACGAGTTCGCCTTGTAACCTGTAGGTCCTGGGTGATGAGTGCTCCCTGATGATGAATCTCAAACATGGGTGAAAAAGTGTTCCAGTACTCCCCAATGGTGTCCAGTGTTTCTGTAATTAGAATCGACTCCTTATCCAAATTAAAATCAGCTCTGTTTGAATTCATAGCAGTGAATTCCAGATTTTTCTTTTTATATTCGTCACATTTCAAATACTGATTGGGGATCAAACAATACCCTTTTTGATAAATTTATCATCAGGTTCTCCAGTTATGTGGCAGTAATAGTTAAAGGATTATTGCCACTAACATCATTAATGATTTCAATTAAAGCAAATCAATAGTATCAACAGATCACACCTCAGAAGCATCCGTAAAAGAGAGATAATA